TAAACTGGAAATATCATTTGAAAGTGTTGAATCTTAAAAAAGTTCACCCCCCTAAGCTGAAAACCGTTTTCTCCCATCTATCTATTGCTAGATACAGTACAGTTTAAGGTATCACAGCTTCAGTTTATTGCTGGTGTGATTTTGCTATATGTACGCATGCTTAATAAATAATCTTTGATATTATATATTACATTTGTTATCATCACCTGACTTTTTTATAAACTTATTTTGATAACCTAAACTCATAAGATTTGTTTATTTGTAGATAATTAAATTTACACTCAAATTATAATTCGACAGGACTATAGTCAAGATGTCTAAAAATAGTCTTCCTTTAGATTTGAATAAGAAACTATGGGAATCAAATTTGGTGAGATTTGAAAAAGCCAAGAATTCAAAAAAGTATGCAAAGACTGTTGACAGTCTTGATCAAATGAACAAAATGCCAACAGAACAGCATATCCTGGACAGATTTAAATGCTTGGCTGCAAATGTGAAAAGTAGACAGGAGAGAGTTGTGATAGTGATCAAAGAAGTAAAAATCTTATGAAAAAAACTGAATCTTCCAATTCAAAAAGGCAAATCTACAGTGGAAAGAAAAATTGAGAATGTACTAAACAAGTATGAAAAAAACAGCAGAAAATCAGGAACGCAAGACTTTACCAACTTGTTCAACGTAACTGATGAAAATGGAGAATAGTTGTGTAGAAAGATAAAGCCCTCTATAATCTTCAGAAGTCAAGAAATGGTAGAGCTGGCTACTGCACCACAATTGAAGATACACAAGGAGTTCATCCTAGAAAACTAAAGTTGATTAAGCAGTCAAGATACTAAGGATGATTTAAACAGTGAAGATGAAGATCAGCAAAGAGTCAGTCAAGATACTAAAGATGATTTAAGCAGTAAAGATGAAGAACATTTTAACACTGAAGAAGAAAAACAAGATTCTGACAGTGGTTCTCAAGATTCAGATGCTCTGAAGGAAGAAGAAATTGTTTGGAGAGATGATATGGGCCGACTCCAATCTCAACTCAAAGGTCAAACATTTGTGCTGAACTTGCAATTAAAGTTCTGCAGATAAGGCCTTATTTCGACTTTTCATAAATCATCTTCAGTGCGGTTTGGTTTATATAGTTTCTTTAAATAATGGAAAGTTCTTCAGCAAAGTTTATTAACTGGTATCGTATTCTTCATCTTTGTTGTTGTCATTCCTTTGTTCTTCATTGTTATTGAAATTAGTATTAGTATTGGTAATGATGTTATCATTCTTTGTTGAATGTTTATTTGGGGTTTATTGATATCTATTAGGGCAGCTTCTGCAATTTTTAGATGTATTGTGTTGGTGTTTTTATAAATAATTTTGTGATGTTGTCAAGAATTTTAGCAGGTTATCGTGCTCGATGGTGAAATTCAATTTTGATTGACTCAGGGTGGCTAGTAGCTTGCTGACGTGTTCCGGATCGTCGTATGCGACGAAGATATCGTCAATATATCTGCCATAAATGTTTGTTTTTAATTCCGGATTGTCTCCGAACGTTTTGCTCTCAAGATGTCCTAAAAAAATTTGCGAACAGGACAACGAGTGGTGAGCCATGGCTACACCGTCAATTTAGTTGTACAGTTTGCCTGTGGGAGTGTGGGAAGGTGCGGTGCAGATTTGGAAAAGAGATTTGAGATGTGTTTTTGCTATATTAATTTGAAACAAGATGTTGTCTTTGACGGCCTAGTGGTTAGGGGCGCTTGGTTCTGTTTCGCAGTGGTGCAGTAACCGAGTTCAAATATAACAAAAGGATCCTCGCCTATCAAATGCTTTGTGTGTGTTATGTGTCGTTCAGCACGCATGTTGTTTGTGTGTTGATTCCTCTGAACTTTGAAAAAATGTACAAAACCTATTTTTAACCTCTGAACTTTGAAAAAATGTACAAAACCTATTTTTAACCTTCTGTGAATCTGAGTTTGGTTAGACATCTGAGTTTGGTTGGATCTGAAAATTGTTCTACGATAGAAAGAAAATCGCCATCACAAAATTCATCTGCAAACAGATAATTTTTTGTTCTACACATTTGCCAAATCAAAAGTTTTCATTTAATGAACCGGGTCCGAACGTTATTAAGATTTTTTGTAGTTTATTCAAATCCTGGTAATTTTTTTATAGTTATATATTATTACGTCTTTGGAAAATAAAAATGTCATCGCAAGCTGACTACATGCCATTAATATAAATCAGAAATAGCAATGGGCTAAGTCTTCCACCACTGCAAAATCCCGCTGGCAATTATCATGGCATCTGACTTTCCCCCAGTCCTCCATGTTTGATTTCCAAAAATACTAAATCTTTGAACTTGAATAATTGTATCATAGTAGAGCGAGATGATGGAAAGCCATATTGTCTTCAAGTAAACAACCAATTTAGTGAACAACCAATTTCGTTTTTTTACATGGTCGACTTTAATTGATTCTAATATTTTACGGCAAACTGAGGTCAAAACCGCAGGTCCGTAGATAGAGACAGAATTTTAGCTTTCTTTTTTATTTAAAGGTATTAATATGCTAGAGATATATGTGTGCATATATTACTATTTTGTTAAATAAATTCCAAAATATAAGAAATAAATAAAAAAAGATGTAGGGCTACAAAATACAAACTTGAACAGTCCCATTTGAATGACCTGTGAATATGTATCTTCGTGGTCGAGATCCTATTCTCGTGGAACTCTCACACTCGTGAACTGTGAAGGAAGAAATTATAGACCCGTCTGCTGACTTTATGACACAGAGTCTGTAAACATGAAGATTAAATTTTCAATTGTTTATCGACATTTTTAATGAAACAATTATGATCAGTTTCTTAACAAATAAATAATGTTAACTACGAGCTATTTTTATGCGTGATAATTTTAGTTGTCGTCGTTTAAAATAAAATTATCAGGTGTGATACGTCAAATTCAATAAAATTAAATTATTTTAATGCTTTTTCTAAATGCAATAAACCTTTTTCCTGACGACGAGAGTCTAACAAAAAGTTGATCACTCTCAGGAATCACTTTCTGTATAAACACCTGTAAATCGTCTTTTTCTCCAAATGGACCTGTCAATCAAAAGATGTTAATAAAAGCTAGAATATAAAAAATGCATTGAAAAATGTTATGCAGTATAAAGTGTAGTGATTATATTAACTCAAGATAAAAAAAAGCACAATGACTTGACATTTAGGATTAATTTGCATTTCTACCCATATAAAACAGCAATCCCAGTTGCCCACTAACCAAAATCATTAGCCGAATGGTATTGTGCGGATGTGTATGTGTCTTCAACGTTGAAAATCTTGAATGAAGCTAGTGGCATTGAACCAGGTTGTGTGTTGATCATGCCTCGAAAGCGAGTGACACTCCAACTTCTTACGTGGTTATATTCAGAACATACTATATGATTGATAGCATGTACATGTGATATGCGTGTACGTGTTTCGGATTTGGTTGTGTGCAATGCAATTCGAACGTTTTTAAATCAATATTTTCAAGCGCTTAAAGAACCAAAAGCTTTAAAACTGGTCATGATGTGCAATTTTTGGTATGGTGTGGTCTATTATTAATGGATAACATAGTATAAAATATAAAATGAACACGTGCACGCAAGCACACACACACAAACGCAGTATTTCAATGTAATCAAATGGAAAAATAAAAAATTGTACTCAATATAAACAAAAGTGTTTGCAACAGGAGTGCACCGGATAGGACTTAGGTCGGATAGTTGAAAAAATATCGATATCGTAATTAGGTGACTTGTAAATAGCTTGTTTTAATGAACAATTTAGAAAACTTCCTACGTTAATATTATATTTATTATGTTTATTTTAATTTTACTTTTTCTATCTCTATGACTGATTTTAATAATTAAATGGAATCATTATAAAATAAAATCCGATGCATTGACATAAGTAATTATCAATATATACAATTGAATATGATCATTAAAACAAAGTGGCTTTTATTTCATTTGTATTAAATTTAACTTGAATTATTTCATTAAGTTGTTGTTGGGGATATAATCCAACAAGGCTTTATGCTTAACTTGAGACTAGCTTGGGTAAGCGAATAAAGCCAAAAGCACTGGCTATAATATAAAATGTAACTGATGCACAAATGCGGATCCGATCAGATTGGTGTTTTTTAATTAGCCTAAATCAGGCCACAGTCGGAGGAGTTACTAAAGTCAAATCCAGTACAGTCCCATTTTCAACTATCCAATCAACTAGCTTGCAGTGGTATCTGGAGGGAGCCGAATATTGCCGGATGCTGAAAAAAGGCTGGATAATACAAAATAAAAGTGCTTTTGGTACTAGATTTACATTTTTGTGTCCAGAAATATTATAATAAAATTTAAACAAAAAAAAACTAATCACGAGAAAATTGGCAAAACCAACCTGAAACAAGGTGTTTCTCTGAAATCATCACTTTTGTTACGGGACCACAGTGTACCATGAACGTTTGTAACAACTGTAGACCTATTGTTTGCGAAACCTTAAATAAAGTTTTCGATCAAACTAATACAATTAATTAGTCCTAATGAATTAATTTGCTGACAATGGTTTTGACGAATTTTGAAGTTTTAATTTAATTAAATATCATTTACACCTTTTAACTTTACAATATAAATGCAGCCAGGTTTAAAAAGCTTTTATTGTTTTTCAATGGCATGATGTATGTAAGCAAAATCATATTATTTATATTTCAATACTATTATTTATGTTTATTATTGCTTACATTATTTATTTTGTTTAGTTAATTATTAATTTTTTGTTTCATAATTTAACATAACCTAGTTGAATTTGTGTAGAGCATATGGGCTTTGCTTGCGCTCACAATTTTAAAGTTGATACTTAACCTATATATGTTCGACTATTAGTCTTATGAGTGTTACCAAACCGGTATAACGATAATATCAGTAATACCGACAAGTAGTGAAGTTTTTCAGTACCGATACCGATCATCGGTGCTAAATCGTTTACCGAACCGAGAATTACCGACATAATTTATTGATGGAAAATTTTTTATTTTAAAAAATCATCATAACAACAAATAAGCAATAATGATCAACAGCGATGCATGTAGGCATCCGTAAATACTGATGTATAGTAAATTTACCGATAACAATATAGGTTTTTATTTTTACATGATTTTTGCTTAGGACCGAATCCTAACTTTCAAACTGCTATGCACAAACAAAACCAAACTAAGAGTTTTTACCTTAAACACACTGAGTTGAATTTGCGATGTTGCAAAAAACTGAACATTGCTAACTGTGCAAATTGGGAAAATGTCGTTGGTAAATCCCGTGTAATAATATTATTATTGTAAACACGTGTTGTTTATTTAAAATTTTAAACTTTTAAAGCATAATTTTAATAAGTCTAACTGAACTCGAATTTTAATCATAGCCGAACCAAAACTTTATTTGTGGTTGAATCTGTCGAACTTTACTCACTCATTGTTAAATCTTTCGAACTAAACCGAACCAAACCCGAACATTAGATTTGTAACAAGGGTTCGATTCCCATCTTTAATTTACAGTATTGTTGCGGTTGCGTTTCAATCCGACAGTATCAAAAAATTAATTGTGTAACAGAAGCAGAGCAATGCAATAGTGTAACAACGCTGCAACGCAATAGCGTAAATCGAACAATGACGAAAAAACCTTGTCCCATAGTTTCAGGATGCTGTACGATGATTCTGACAACACCTGAGTTTGTTCCATACGCCACCTCCATCCAACAACTGCAGATACCTGCAAACTGATCTGACAATGGTAATGATAATAAAGAAGAGCAACTTTTATAAAATCACATTAAGCAATAATCAACAAAATTTGATTGATGACTAAATTATTTATGAATACACAAAGCTAAAACTTTTGGCAATTAATGAGTTCAGCATGAGCTGGATAGGCCCGGATATTATAAAAAGTTCGTCATATAAAGTTCAAGGTAGAATTATTAGTATAGAAATTGTTAATTTTTGTCAAAATTTTTAATGTATAATGCAGTTAAAAACTATCTAACTCGTTTTAGGAGTGAGAAAAACACTGAGTGATGTGATCTTATCGCCACCTGGATCTCTAAACAATTCAGTTTTAAGCAGGTCATTGTCCTTCATTCTTAAGGGAAATTTCTGCATGTCTAAATAAATAAATGCAAAAAATAATAGTACAGAAGTTACAATTGAGTGCATGAATTGTAATAATTTGCATTTTGCATGTTGTTGTGAAAGATTTAACATAAATTAAAATTGCGACATTTTCATTCACAGGGTACAGGGTAATGATAATATTCTATAATTTAGTGTATAAATTTTATACCCTGTTAACAATTTGATGTCGAAAAGTGAATTTATTTACAGAAAGTAATGCGAATATAAACATAAAGCAAATCACGACCAATCTTGGGTAAAAATTGAGTGAAACAAACTATTAATAACAAAGTATATTTAAAAACGATGTTAAATTACTGGAGACATAAATGCAACAGAAACAGTTGAGCATCAAAATCAAAACAAATCGTTACTTTACACTAGTATAAACAAGAATTATAATTTATTAAATAACTAAAAAAAAAATCTTAAACAATCTTTCTACCGCGAAAAGAAAAGTTAAACGCACAAACCAATGAGATATATGCAACCGTTGTCACATCCAAGCAGTAACACAGATCCTGAAACATCATGACTTGTAATGTTAATTGCCTCTTGCACCTATCATACGTGTTGGTAGGTTATTTCTATTTTTATACATCATATGTTATTAAGTAATGTTGATGCATTGTATACGTCCATATGTTATACGTAATTTTTTATTCTTCCTAATGCAGTTTCGTCAAAAGCAGAGCTGCTTAGATGTTATTCTATACTAGTAATTAAGCTTTCGTGCCACGAAGACCACACGACGTCCGTACCTCTTATGCATGCTGGTCTTTGAGCTTTAGACAGTCAGTATTCGAACCATACCATTGCGCGATAGCAGCGCGAGACATAAGACTTCTAGTGACTGAGCTAATTTGGTGACGTCTATGTTTATATTATATGTCTGAAATTTTTCTTTATCTATGCTATTTCATATCTATCTATCTTCGTTTAGCGTACAGAAACCCAGTTCGCTGAGGTAGGACGTTTTTTTTGCCATCAAATCAGAACACCAGACTCGCCGATCATGGATTCGAAGTCAACATCAGCAAAACCAAAGCAATGAACACTGGTGAACCCATCCAATCCACAGTTACTGGACGATGGTCCTGTTCAGTTTGTAAAGCTGGTGTAGGTAACAATTCAATCAAGTGTCAGCAGTGTAACCAGTGTTGTCACAAACGTTTTTCAAAAATAATTGGTACTTTATCTAAAGTGTCCTATTTTTTTGTCCTACTTGCATCAATCCACAACAACAAATTTGAAATAGCACTGTTTTTGAAGCCATTAAGGTAGAGGAAGTCACATCGTTTCAATATCTATGGGATGTTCAGGATTGTACTGGAACAGCTGAATCTGCCGTTCAAGCACTCTGTTATATGGCGCAGAAACATGGCCAATGACAACCAAACTGGAACAACAACTTCGACGAACCGACATGAAAATGCTCTGATGGATGCAACGAATTAGTCTGAAGGACCACATCAAATCTACCAAAATCCTGCGTCGTGCTGGTTTAGATGATATAAAGGACGAATGTCGGTTTGATCATGTCAAACGAAGTGGAAACAGTGCCATTATTTTTCTTGCAGATGTTGAAGTACTTGGCACACGTCCCAAAAGCTGTCCAAAGAAGTCCTGGTCGCAAACAATCGAGCAAGACATGAAAGCTCTAAATTTAAATGAAATGGATACAACTGATCGTCTAATTTGGCGCAAAAAGTTGATGGCAAAGAAAACAACTCCTACCTCGGAGAACCGAGCCTCTGGACGCAAAACGAAAATTGATTGATTGTGCTGCATTCTGCTCAGACGTGGCTGTTAAAACGATATCATCAGCATATATTAGATTCCAAATGTCACCAGTGCGTATCGGCTTTGTGATTTCTTCCATCACAGTTATAAATAACAGTGGACTGAGAATCGAGCCTTGGTGAACTCCAATGCCGATGTCAAATGCATCTGTGTTTCAAACCGTTGTGCTGACGAGAGTCTTAGTATTCGTATACATTTCCATCACAAGTCGAACTAGATATTCTGGAATGAGTTGTCGATGTTAACTCCACCTTATTGCTTCACGGGGAACTCGATCGAATGGTTTTTCAAGTCTACAAAAATGTATGATAGTTGTTGATGCTTTGCGCGGTACTTCTCTTGCAGTTGCTGAAGGATGTGAATTGCATCAATTGTTGATTTCCCCGCTAGGAAACCAAATTGATAATTTCCGATTGTGATGAACGACGTTAATCTTCTCTCAATGATTTTCTCGACAATTTTCAGGGAGTGTTTTAACAGACGTATACCCCGATATGATGAACAGTTCAATGGATCACCTTTGCCTTTGTATAGTTCCATTCAGTCGGCATTGAGCAATTTCTCCATATTTCACGGCAAAGTTGTAGTTACGTTTGGATACCTGCAGTACCAGATGCTTTGATAATGTCATTTGTGAGTTCAGAGGGTCCTGCTGCCTTTCCATCCTTCATAGCTTTCTATTTATGTTGAATAAAGACTGCCTAATACATAAATAAATAAAACAAACTAAACCAAAATAAATAATAAAGAAGTAAATATCAGAGCCTTGACAAATAAGACAAATGTCTAGGACCTGCAATTATGAGCCTGCAATTATGAGGAGCCAGACTCCACAATTTCAAAGCTCCACACTTATTGCAAATTTGTATATTCTTAAATTTGAATATTGATATATTTTGCAAATGTTTATTGCGTCCTACTTGCATAATGTGAAATTGTTTCTAATAGTTTTCACGAAAAAAATAATTAGAGCAACCCCATTCCATAACGGAATCAAAAATCCTGGTTTTGTGTAGTTTAGTTATGATTAGTCATAGTAAAAAAAAAACTGAAAATATTTATTATTTGTATTTGTCAATTATAAAAGATCAGAAGACTAATAAATTTTTCTAAAAATTTATCAAGAACTTTGAACATCCATTAAATTACTCAGATCCAGATGACATTAATATGCTAAAAATAAACTGAAACAATTTACTTAATTTGGGTAAGACGAAATTTGCAAAACCCGAATTACATGTGTTTATCTATAAAGAATAACAAAGGTTAATAGCTATTTGGGTGTCAGGATATTTTAAGCTGATTTTATATGATTTCAAATATGGCTCTAGTTTTTGAGAAATATTTTAAACAGCTTGCCTGTTGTGCTATTTTTGTTTGGTTGAGTTTAAAGAAAAAAAACGCTAAGCAGCACACTTTAGGACTCACATTGCTCACCTCAAACGAGGAGAGGCCTAGAAAAGGTGTCCTAAAAATTTCTCGTTCCCAACCTTTTCCTAAATGGTTAACCGCGCTCATTGGGCATATTCCTTAGCGGACAAAAAAAAACCCAAAATCGACTCGTGAACCTATTCGATTTGTGACCAAAACGTACGAACGCTTTTGGGCCGAACTGTAACTAACAGAACGACCTGCGCGGCGTACCGTTATTGCCATCAAGCTGGGAAGATACCAAATCAACATTGTCACACAATCTGGAACCCGTATCTCAGGTCGAAGTGGGAGCAGAATACACGTTCTTTTGGAAGGGTTTGTCAGGCAATGATCCGCGGATTCATGGTGTTGGTTTTGCTGTCCTTTCTCGCCACATATCAAAATAAACCAGCTAAACTTCCGTGGTTCATTGAAATGCTCTCAATGATTCACATCAATTCATGTATCTTTGTAGTGAACTCAGTACCGACAGCTGCCTAGATCGTGATTTTGAACATCGCATTAGGGTCGGCTGCATTTGAAAAACTAGCTAGTCACGTTTTTTAAACAAAATATTTCTATGACAACCATAATTGATATGCACAAAGCTGGCTGCAATTCTGCTCTTATTTATTGTTGTGAATCTTGAACTCATTATCATCTCATAGCAGAGCATCAGCATATCTTACATTGTTTATTGTGTATTCTCCCTATACCTGTACAATCTCTATAGTGAGATCATCGTCAGAAAGATAGATCTTCCGGGAATATCCATTGGAGGCGTGAATATAAACATTGTAAGATACGCTGATGATACAGCTCTTATAGCATACTCAATGTAAAAATTGCAAACATATGTTTCCAAATTTTTTTTGAAATTGGAAGAATTAACATAAACAAAATAGAGTGGTAAATTAACATCAACAAAACAGAGTGCATGGCTATCAGTAAAAGCAAAACCGCCTCGATCTGCTCCATAATCATTAATGGTAAACGAGTGAATCAAGTCAACATCTTCAATTATCTTGAAAGTCTGATAACCTCAGGTTGTAAATGTAATATGGATATCAAAAGAAGTGCGAAGGATGCATATTCTAAAATGAAAAACATCCTCGCCAACAGTAAAATCAGAATATCAACAAAATTAAAACTGTTAGGGTGTTATATTTTTCCTGTGCTAACTTACGGCTCTGAGCCCTGGACAATTTTTAAAAAAATCAATCAATCATCGTTAAGCGTCCAGAGACCCAGTTCTCCCGAGGTAGAACGTTGTTTTCTTTGCCATAAATTTTTTGCACCAAATTAGGCGATCAGTCCTGGGCATGACATAAAACTGCATCCACGCTGCCTTGCGTGCTTTTGAGCAAAAAGCTAGGCCCACCGCTTATAACTGGTGGTTGTCGTCAGGATGGGTGTCCAGATGTAAAAAGTTTTCCCAAAATTTATTCTATGACATCAGAAGGAAAATTTTAAAAAAATGGAAAAAAGATTAACGCTGCTGAGATGTAATTTTTGAGGAGAATTATGAAAATCAGTTTGGCTTCTCATACTTCGAATGAGGATGTATTAAAACAGTCCGGTTATAAAAAGAGGAAATTACTACAGATAATCCGACGGGGACAGTTAAAGTTTTTGGTCACATCATGCGGAAGGAAAGAATGGAAAATCTAACAACTACTAGAAAGATTGCAAAGAAAAGAGATCGCGGTCAACAACGAATAAAATTCGTGGTCTTAGTGTCACTTGTTGAATATCACCACATTTCAACTACTACAAAGTGTTAAAGATCGGGTTTTGTGGAGGTCAATGGTCGCTAATGTCCTAAAAGGATAAGGCCAGAAAAGGAAAAAAAAGATATATATATATATATATATATATAATGCGTGGGTGTGTGTGTGTGTATGTATAATATGTGTGAATATATATGCATCAACCTGCCAATTCCTGGTGTTAGCATGCCAGACTCCAAACTTTCCGGAATGACTCAGTGCGACAAGATGCAATCCAGTGAAGAAAAGAGAATTTATTTGTACGCTTAAGTTAAAGGTGCCTGCAATTATGGTGATCAATAAAAAATAATCAACACCGAAAGCATGAAAGCGAAACTGTATTTATCATCATCTTTTATAGTATTATAACTCATATATTATTATTAAAATATTTAGACACTGACCAATTTCTTTAGTGTCCTTAATGTTATCATAAACAACCCACAACTTCACAATTGTCTGGTAACTGACAGCAACCATGCGACAAAATCGATCATGAAATGGATGTTTTGCATTCAGTGCAACTCGTTCGATGACTTGCTCAGTGCAAGGACTGGTCCAACTCACCATCCAGCCCAAAGAATCTTTTAATCTAAAAATTTTATTTATGAACAAACATTGTTGTTGCTCTATTTCCTAAAATTATTAACACAATGTTTAATGTTTGTTTCGGCGATAAGCCAACAAAACTTTTAAGAATATTATAGCCTTGTGGTTATATAAAAATAATGTGGTTTTCTGGTCGCGATTTCGAATACTAAATCCAGATTGCCATCCACGAATTCAAATTTCTACATGAAGCATGTAATTTTCATTCCTCAACGTACTTTGGAATGACATCATCAAAACTGTCCAGACGATTAACATGCCATCTTTAATGTTGGTGCTCCCAATTTCTATTTTCAAAATTTATATAGCCAACAATTAAAGCGTAAAATTTTGAAAGACAATACTACCATTTCAATTAAAAATAGTGAGAGGTTGGAACATCTCATAACATACAAAAGTGGACCATCAGCTAACGCAAATTGATTTCTTTGCTGTCAAGCAACAAAACTAAGGCTATTCAAAAATGTCAAAGTTATACCTGGCGAATCATGTGTCGCCCAACATAGACTTCTTGTGGCAGATCTGGTTGATTGTCAAACTGTCACAACATAAGTCTAAACAAATGTCTCGGAGAATCAAAACGTGGAAGCTGAAAAGCAATATTCATCGAGAAAAATTTCAACAGATTGTCGCCACACAGTTAGACAACCAATTGCAAGCCAGTACAGATTGGAGTGCATTCAAAACCGTTTTGATAAACGCTGTCACTACAGTTTGTGGAAAAACTGGTACAAAACGCCAGCATGAACGAGACACTTGGTGGTGGAATGACAGTGTACAAAATGCAATAGCTGAAAAGAAAGCTGCATACAAGCAATGGCAAAAACCAAAGTCTGTTTGATGACCACATAATTTTCTGTATGAAGAACAACTATGCAAGACGTCAAGTTGCACTGGCTAACACAGATCAGTGCAGAGAGTGGCTCACTAAAAGCAAAGGTGAACAAATGAAATCTCTGTATCGTATAGTAAAACAAGCAAAGCGTACAAAAAAGACAAAGTTGGTGCCACATGTATCAAAAATGACATAAGTGTGATGGTTTTTGAACAAGATGAGATCAAACTACAGTGGAAAGAATACTTCAACCGTCTGTTAAATGAAACAAATCCCATCAGTGTCAACTTAGACGCACCATCCATCAAAGGTCCGATTCCAGACATCAATGTAGAGAGGAGCTTAAAGAAGCTCTGAAGACTATGAAGGATATAAGGCAACAGGGCCCTCTGGATTCACAAATGACATTATCAAAGCATCTGGTACTGCAGGTATCCAAACGTTACTACAACTTTGCCGTGAAGTCTGCAAAAATTGCTCAATGCCGACTAAATGGAACTATAGCATGACAGTTCCGCTATACAAAGGCATTAAACTGTTCATCATATCGGGGTATATACGTCTGTTAGAACACTCCCTGAAATATGTCGAGAAAATATTGAGAGAAGATTAACGTCGTGTATCAAAATCGGAAATTATCAATTTGGTTTCCTAGCGGGGAAATCAACAATTGATGCAATTCAAATTCTTAGGCAACTGCAAGAGAAGTACTTCACAAAGCATCAACAAATATCACACATTTTTGTAGACTTTAAAAAAGCATTTGTTCGAGTTCCCCGTAAAACAATCAGGTGGAGTCTAAGTCAACAACTCATTCTAGAATATCTTGTTCAACTTGTGATAGAAATGTATACGAATATTAAGACTTTCGTCAGCACAACGGTGTGAAACACAGATGTATTTGACATCGGCGTTAGAGTTCACCAAGGCTCAATTCTCAGTCCACTGTTATTTATAACTGTGATGAAAGTTCAGTAAGCCGATACGCACTGGTGACATTTGTTGTTTAATATAAGCAGATGATACCGCTTTAACAGCCACGTCTGAGCAGAATGCAGCACAGATGTTTGAAGATTGGAACACCAGTCTCGCCGATCATGGATTCAAAGTCAACATCAGCAAAACCAAAGCAATGAACACTGGTGAACCCATCCAATCCACAGCTACTGTTAAGTTTGTAAAACTTAACAATTCAATCAAATGTCAGCAGTGTAACCAGTGGTGTCAACAACGTTGTACTTTAACTAAAGTGTCCAATTTTGTTTGTCCTGCTTGCATCAATCTACAACAAATTCGAAATAACAATGTTTTTGAAGCTATTAAGTAGGAAAGTCACATCATTTCAATATCTAGGGAATGTTCTGGATTGTACTGGAACTGCTGAAGCTGCCGTTCGAGCACGCATACGTGTAGCCTTGAATAAACGGCATCACACTACCATTACGATCAAGACTTTATAAATCTGAGATACGTCCGGTGTTGTTAATGGTGCAGAAACATGGCAAATGACAACCAAACTAGGACAACAACTTCAACAAACCGATATGAAAATGCTAGGCTGGATGCAACGAATTAGTTTGAAGGACCACATCAAATCTACCTAAATCCTGCGTCGTGCTGTTTTAGATGATATAAAGGACGAATGTCGCCAACACCATCTGCGGTGGTTCGGTTATGTAAAACGAAATGGAAACAGAGCCATAACTTTTTTTGCAGTTGTCGAAACACCTGGCACACGTCTCAAAGGCCGTCCAAAGATGTCTTGGTCGCAAACAATCGAGCAAGACATGATAGCTTTAAATTTAAACAAAATAGATACAACTGATCGCCTAATTTGGCACAAAAAATTGATGGCAAAGAAAACAACGTCTTACCTCGGGGAAACTGGGTCTTTGGACGCTAAATGAAGATTGATTGAATTCAACAGGTTACAGATATTAGAACAATACATATAAAGTTTTCAGATTATGCAATGTTAAAGACTCTGAAAGACCATTATGAATAGAATTTCAGAAGAAAACATTGAATAGACTGCTGGAAAATGCATCAAATCTCAGACAAGCTGGAGAGAGTTAAAAAAATATCGGTGGGGTACAACATTATGAAAAATAAAAAGGAGCAATGCAGAAACGTGGTAAAACAATGTAAAAAACGAGGCACAGAAAAGTAGGGGGAATGGATAAACAAGATGAGAGGTCAGCCACGAGGGTAGACGTGTCGAATCAAAATTAATTTGTACGTTTATGTATGTTAAAGTTTGGTCTACTAAAACATTGAGTTAATATGATAAAATGTAACATAACGTTGTATGATAAAATGTAACAAAAACCCTTTGTATCTTTATATTGGCTCTAATTTTATTAATTTATATTGGCTCTATTTTTACTAATGTTTAAGTTTGAAAATTATAGTCTTTGTATTAGTTTTTCAATACCAAAACTCGAAAAGAAAAGCTAGTTTAAATAAAAAATGAAGACGGAAATGTAAATTTATTTTCTTATAAGTTGAGGATACATGACTTGTGTTAAACTTAACATTGTTCAAAAGCGATAAAAATATTAAAATTAACGGTGATATTAAGCAAAAACCTGTGCAAGACAACATAATTTGGATAAGAAACTGCTACCCAGTTACCATGCCCCTTCACTATTGTTACTCTCATTGGATAAAATTCTAGTAAATCTAAATAAAAAAATTATTCATCATCATTCACGTTAATTTAATTACTAATTGTTAGTAATTCTACAAGTAATTACTAGCATACAAATTTAAGGTCATTATCACTCACCACCATCATCACAACATTATTTACTCATTTGAATGTTCCCAATTCTGAGGTCAGACATACTGATTGGAATGTTTTGCCTGTTTTCCGCATGCAAGTGTCCCAGTTTCCTACCATGAAAAACAAATACACTCAGAAAAGTACAGCCCGAGTATTGCGCAACCCTCTTATAGCAAGGGGGGGAGAGTTCAAGATTTGTCCCATACAAAATTGAAACATTAAAAAAACTAATAAAGAAGATAAAAATTAAAGCCCTAATATTTTTTGAAAATTGTTCTATTTCATTTGAGAAAGAATTATTTGTTACGCAACAGTTTTTTTAAGTAGTTTTAACGGAAGTGTGATGGGTGAGAGAGGGAGTCAAAATATCGTTGCTTCGTGTTATGTAATACTCGATCGGCTTTAAAGTAATTAAAATTAATATTTGCACATCCGCAAACAAGTGAGATTAATCAATAAGAACTTTAACAGTGGTACCGTGGAAGCCGTAAATGTTGAATAAATAACTTAAAAACAAACCTGGCATTATTAATGTTGAATTCAGATTTAGAATAATTAGATGATAAATCGTTATCAACACCGGCTACTGAACTTCTTGCCGTTACTGCTTCATTGGCTGTGGATGGATGACCTAATCAAAAAATTAAGAAATTAAGTAAAAAGCATTGTAACATAATTAACAAACAATTGCCATGATATATTAACAAAAGATTTTAACTAAATTCAACACAAACAAACAAATGAACAACTTTGTGGTGCAATAATTGCATGGAACAGCAGCCCACCACAACTTTCTTGGGCCAATTCATCACACAACATTAAACGTCGAACTGTTGAAATTATTTCAGTTAACCATCATTTTCAATATAAAGTTATAATTCTATTAATGTTAATTATATTAAAAGCATTATTCGAATCTAACCTAGTGGTGTCAAGCCATAATATTCAGCTTCATGTTTCAATGCCTTGTAATCACTGGTGCTGTAAAGCGTTCATTTAAGAAATAACATTTATTTTAAAAATTAAATTTCAAATAAATGTTGCAATGTAAAATGTATAATTTGAAATGAAATGTTCAAAAAAATTGTATAAATATCAATAAAAACGCATCTCGTTTTTTTCCGAAAGTATAGCGCTATTTGGCAAGATGCAAAGAAACCAACCAGAATGCTGAAATTGTGTAACTTAACCAGGGTATGGGAGTCGGACAAAAAATATCCCCTTCAAAAATTTCAGGCTCTGGGTTACAAGTCCAAGAAAAATTTTCAACTTTTTCATCATAATTTCACTTAAATATGTAGAAAATAGATGTAACTGTCGAGGAGAAATAATTAGTCATAAGTAGATACATCCCAATCGTATATTAAAATGTGTTATTGCAATCATCATTCTGCATCACACACGTTGTTTTGCTTCAAAATGTAAAAAATGATAATGGCGATTATTTATTTATAGAATAATTCAAAAGCTTCTATACGTTTTCCTAATTTTAGATAATGTTTTCATGCGTTATCAAATTGGCTATGCAAATTCAAACCTAAACTGAATATCTCGAGTCCTCAAATAATTGAGAATATCTTTGAATAGTGTTGGATCCCTATCAATGAAGATCTAGAATGAATAATGAAATGTTAAATATAAAAACAGGAATGTTCATGAACAAAAATGATTTTTATTTTTATATTACAATAGCATTTAACAAATAAAAAAAAATTTAAATTCCGTTACGTTTCCATCAAGATCTTTCGTGGAAGGTATGCGGCCACTCAACAAACTGTTAAATAATACATAAATAGTGAAACGAACCGTAAATAAAACATTTATAGAAATAATAGTGTATCATTTGAATTAAAGGATCACCTGGTAAAAAATGAATCTGAAATCCAAGTCAATGTTTGATAAGAGGTGCAAAATCTGAGAGAACAAACATTAATGAAAAATAATGGTACAGTATTGCATTTTGATCCAAAATGTAAGTAACAAAAATTTACAATATCAGTTACATACATCACATTTGTATATAATGTGACTAAATGAAATTACCACATGAAGGAAAAATTAAATAAAGTTGGTCAAAAATAAATAACACATTTAAAATAACTAGTGACTATAGCTAGTTAATTAACTAAACTAATTATCAGTCAAGGAGAATAAATGGATATCATATTAACATTAATGATAAATGAACAACTAACCCTATTCAACCTCAACTTACCTAAAATCATAAAATATAAATATTGAATAATAAAAATTACTTATTAAAACCAAGAAAATTAGTGTACCTTGTGCCTCCGACATTCAGTGATATAACATCACAGCTTGATAGTAAACTTGTCATCACTTAAATTTTCCTTCAAATAGATTAGAATGTTATTTTATATTTAATTCATTATTATTTTATCGAAACAGAGAAATAGAAAACATTTATAAGCATTTGATTAAGTTATAAATAATTACAAGATACCATTACCTTTTTCTTGAATGAGATTGTTGTAAAATAAATTATAAATAAGAAAATTATTAAATTTTAAAGTGGAAAAAATGTAATGATGAACACATATAACAATTATTCTCTCTCTCTCTCTCTCTCTATATATATATATATACATATATATATATACATATATATATATATATATATATATATATATATATATACATATATATATATATATACATATATATATATATATATATACATATATATATATATATATATATACATTTACAAATGTACCGGTGAAAGACACAATTGACATCATTATCAATACGGTTTACAATTCAAATATGTCCCCCATCAAATTTCCCAAATCTCATCTTAAATCGCTTTTGGAAATTCGTACAACCGAGGCACACTTCACAAGTCCAACAGGAAAAATGTATAAACAAATTGATGGCATAGCCATGGGTTCGCCACTAGGAGTTCTTTTCGCTAATTTTTATTTAGGACATTTAGAAAACAAGACGTTTGAACAACACCCACATTTAAAACCACACATTTACACTCGATATGTTGATGATATTTTTGTTGCATATGATGAACAAGACATGATCAATGAACTCGTTACCACGTTTAACCATTCAAAAGTTAAATTCACAATTGAATTAAGAAAAGAAAAATCAATACCGTTTTTGGATGTGCTCGTTAAACATGATGAACGTCATTTCAACATCTCAGTTTATGTGAAAGAAACCAACAAAGGAATTTGTCTTAATGGACAAAGTGAATGTACGAAAGAATATAAACTGAATACTATCAAAGCCTTCGTCAACCGAGCAATAACACACTCAACTACTCAAAATGACATCAATACAGAATTGAATCGCATTAAAAAATTACTTGTTAATAATGGTTATCAAATATCAGATATTAACAATGTAATTAAATTTAAATTAAAAAATATCAGTAACAACAATAATAATAACTACAACAGAGTTACCAGTAGCAATATTATCACCAACAACAATAATCTTTCTATTGAAAATGATAATCCCATAGCCAACTATAACATCATTAATAACAACAACAATAACAGTAATCTTAATATTGATAACAATAACAACAATAATTTCAACAATAATCACAATAATCACTATAACAATATTATTCATAATACTAATAATTATAACGAAAGCATTGTCAACAACAACAACGATGAAGTCAATAATAACAACAATAATCCAGATACTAATCACAACATCATAGTTAACAACTTTAGTAACCAAAACAACACCTACTACAATAACAACAATAATAATTATAAAGATATTATTCTATATTACCGCAACATCATGTCCACTTCATATAAAAACAGATGAAAACATTTTAAGAAAACTAATTTACAACAATATCAAAACCGTCAATCCCAATTGCAAAGTTAAGTTAAGAATATATTATAAAAACGCCAAAACATCACACATGATAATCAAAAATAACTGTCAACCCAACAACAATTCCATCATGAAAAATAGTCATCTAGATATGAATTTTCCTGTCCCATTGGTAACTGTGTGCACAAAACTTCTTCATATATAGGAATGACCACCACTCAACTTTCTCGTCGACTTACCATGCACAAAAGAGAGGGTGCGATCAAATCTCATATAGAAACAACACATAATACAACATTAACACGTTCAATTCTCGACAATGACACAAATGTTCTTTACAAAAACTCCAATTCTTTCACTTTAAAGATAGCCGAAGCCATATTAATAGAAATAAAAAATCCAAAATTAAATGTTCAGCTACAAAGTATAACAGTACTTCCGACTCACAAACAGTTTTCTAAACTAATTAATAATTCTCTCACCACCTATAACAACAATAACAACCAGGTTACCATCACCACCACCAACAACCATGTTACTACCAACAATAATGTTAATAATTGCAGCAACAACACCAATACTAATGTTAACAACAACAACATCATTGTCAATAACAACAACAATAACAACAGCAACAACAACAACAACAATAGTAATAATAATAACAATGATAATAACAATGACAATGATAATAATATAAACTTGGAAACATGAATATTGTAGTGTGATGATATGGCTGATTTTCTTTTTATTTTGTTGATTTACTTTAGTGTCCTGGTTATGACATTAAACTGACCCTCACTGCCTTGTGAGTGATGTTGGATCATCAAAGGCTAGGCCCACCGCTTATAACTGTGGTTGCGTTCTCCTGTGTAAAAACTAGCCAAATAATAAATGCTTATGATGATGACGGAAAAAACAATGGCCCTCAGTATCCGGCAGAAGAGGGTGCGAAGAATCTCCGGAAACCCAGTCGATGGGGTTGTGGTGCAAGGCCCTGTGGATGGTCTGGCTACTGGCACCCCACTCTATAGTGTGGCGGTGCAAGGCACTATAGATGGAAGGACTACTTGTAGACCAAGGGGTTGGAGGTTTGGTACCTGGAATGTAGGCACGTTGACAGGAAGAAGTTTGGAAGTGGTGGAGGAGCTGCAGAGGAGAATGGTTGACGTGGCTGCATTACAGGAGGTCAGATGGAAGGGTGAGGGTACAAGGTTTGTGGGGGCTAAAGGTGGAAGATATAAGTTGTGGTGGAAGGGGGATGATGGTACGGGAGGAGTTGGTGTGATGGTAAGAGAAGAGTTGGTGGAGAAGGTGTTGGAAGTGAGGCGGAGAAGCAATGGGGTAATTGTGGTGGTGATGGTGTTTGGAAAAGTAATAGTGAGGGTGATATCAGGATATGCTCCGCAACAAAGTAGGAAGGAAGAGGAGAAGGATAGGTTTTATGATGATGTTTCTGACGAGATTGGGCAAGCGGGGTTGAATGAGTTTGTGGTGTTGTTGGGTGATTTGAATGGTCATGTGGGGGCGGATGCAGACGGATATGAAGGTGTGCATGGGGGATGGGGATATGGTATACGGAATGAGGAAGGGCGTAGAGTGTTGGAGTTAGCGGATGCACACAGCATGGTGGTGGGGAACACTTGGTTCACAAGGGAACCAGCGCGATTGATTACTTATAGGTCAGGGGAAAATAGATCGATGATCGACTATATATTGGTAAGGGCCAAACATAGGAAGTATGTGAAGAATGTGAAGGCGATACCTGGTATGTTGCAGCATAGTATGGTTGTGATGGATGTGACATGAAAAGAAATGGGGAGGAGGAAGAAGGATAAGTTTGTGGCAAAGAGAAAGACATGGAAGTTGCAGGATGCAGAGGTGAGGAAGGCATTTGAAGTGAAGGTGACTGAAAATTGGGAGAGTGGTAAGGATGGAAATGTTTGGGAGAGATACAGGGACTGTGTGTTGGCTACGGCAGATAAAGTATGTGGATGGACGAAAGGAAAGTGTAGGCATGGTGAGACGTGGTGGTGGGATGAAGATATAAGAAGGGTTTTGGAAGTCAAGAAGGAGAGGTTTAGGGTATGGAGAAGGGACATGACGGAGGAAGCGGAGTCTGAGTATAGGAAGGCTAAGAAGGTTGCAAAACAGGCAGTGGCAACTGCAATGACGAAAGCATCAGATAGGTTAATGAAGGAAATGGAATCTGATGTGAGTTCGAGGAAAATGTTCAAAGTAGCAAAGCAGTCAATGAGGGATAGGAAAGATGTTATAGGGAATGGATGTGTTTGGGATGGATCTGGCAAGTTGTGCATAGATGAGGAGGAAAAAGCTCAGGTGTGGAAAGCTCATATGGAAAGGTTGATGAATGAAGAGAATGAGTGGGATGGAGATGTGGAATCCGTGGTCACACACGGACCTATAGAGAAGGTGATAGGAATTGAAGTTATGATGAGAATTGCTAACAGTATGTTTGATGATGAAGGTATACCTGAGGATTGGCGACACAGTGTGTTGGTGCCGTTGTATAAGGGCAAAGGAGATGTGAGAGATTGTGGGTCATACAGGGGTGTGAAATTACTAGAGCACGGAATGAAGGTAGTGGAGAGGGTGCTTGAGAGGAGGTTGAGAAGTATGGTGACAGTTAATGAAATGCAGTGTGGGTTTATGCCTGGTAGGGGAACGGTGGATGCGTTGTTCATGGCGAGAATGTTGCAGGAGAATTATAGAAAGAAGAAACGAAGATTGTACCTGTGTTTTGTGGATCTAGAAAAGGCTTTTGATCGAGTACCGAGGAAGGTCATTGAATGGGCGTTGAGGAAGAAAGGAGTGAATGAGAGACTTGTTAAAGCTGTGATGCAGCTGTATGAAGGAGCAAAGACAAAGGTGAGGGTTGGAAGGGGGATGTCGGACGCTTTTAGTGTTAAGGTAGGAGTGCATCAAGGATCAGTGTTATCACCGTTTCTGTTTGCAATTGTGATGGATGTTGTGTGTGGAAACATAATGGAGGGGTTGTTATTTGAGATTTTGTATGCAGATGATTTAGTCTTGATGGCTGATAGCATGGAAGAATTGCAGTTAAAATTTGACAGATGGAAAAGTGTTATTGAAAAGAAAGGGTTAAAAGTTAATATTGATAAGACGAAGGTAATGGTGAGTGGGGAAGGTGGGGAACGAGTGATAAGTAAAATAGACCCCTGTGGGGTATGTGATAGGAGAGTGAAGGCTAACTCGGTATTGTGTATAGGATGTCAGAAATGGGTGCATAAGAGATGTAGTGGTGTGAGGGGGGCACTGAAAAAGGTGGAAGGCACGTTCAAATGTAAGAAATGTGTTCATGGTGTGATTAATAGGACGGACGCAAGGACGGGGTTGAGTGATGGTATTGAAAGAGTGGAAAGCTTTGTTTACTTAGGGGATAAGCTGAATGCGGATGGAGGATGTTTGAGCGCAGTTACGGCTAGAGTTCGTGTGGGATGGATGAAATTTAGGGAACTGGGTGGGGTATTGTGTGGAAAGAAATGGTCAGTAAAGATGAAAGGGAGGGTATATAATGCATGTGTGAGAGCAGCGATGATATATGGTGGTGAAACTTGGGTGTTGAGGAGAGAGGAGGAAAGTGTACTGCAGAGGGCTGAAAGAGCTATGGTGAGGATGATGTGTGGGGTTAAAGTGAAGGATAGGAGGAGTAGTACAGAGCTGATGTCAATGATGGGACTGAATGAGGACATTGTGACATTGATAAGGAGATCGAGATTGCGGTGGTATGGACATGTGTTGAGAAGGGATGAAAGGGTCGGGATTAGGCGAGCGTTGGAGTTCGAGGTTGAAGGAGTGGTAGGAAGGGGTCGTCTGCGATTGGGATGGAGAGAGCAGGTGGAGAAGGACAGGGTGAAAGCGGGGTTGCGTGATACTGAGGCGAGTGACAGATGTGGATGGAGTCGAGGGGTATTTCGGTTTCATCATAGGTAGCCAAACGGCAACCCCCGATCTCGGGGAAAATGCCGTCTAAACGTGTGTTTGTTTTTGTTTGTTTTTTGTTGATTTACTTTATGGTCGTTTTTTCAGCAATTTTTAAAAATTTTAATTTTAATTTATTTTGTTTAATTCTAATATACATGTATATCTATGTAAATAATTTAAAGTTAATTTTATCAATATGTTAAATATATAGTATATAATAATTAATGATAATATTTTCAAAAATGTTCGCGCTTAAAATTAAGTTATACTGTATGACGTCATTTGTTTATAAACGGTAATGTTCGTTATTATTTATCTGAAGACTATGAAGGATCAGTGAAGAAAAGGCATCAGTGCCCTCTAGACTCATAAATGATATGTTTTGACAGTTTAACAACCAGGTCTGCCACAAGGAGTCTATGTTGGGCGACACATGATTCGCCAGGTATAACTTATTCAACGCAATTAATAATTCGGAAATGGCATATACATTTTTGAATAGCCTTCGCTGCTGTTGCTTGACAGCGAAAAAATCAATTTGCGTGGCTGATGGTCCACTTTTGTATGTTATGAGATGTTCCAACCTCTTTTTAAAATATGTGTTCGGTAAAGAAAAACCCGTGACTTTCACAAAACTCAAGGATGCGGTTGCCATCTCCATTCCGTTCTCCATAGCCAAAACCGCCATGCACGTTATCAAAACCATCTTTTTTCTCTCCAACGTGGCCATTGAGATCGCCTCCAATCAGGATTGTTTCGGATTTTGGTATTGTTGAGATGGTGTCAGAAAACGCAGCCCAGAAGTTATTTTTCATCTCTTCTGATTCGCCTGTCTGTGGTTCGTATGCAAACAAAATAGTCATTGTTTGCTTTTCTAGACTAATCTTGATCCACATGAGATGTGAGTTAATCCTTTTAATATCCAGTACTTCTTGGGCTAGCGGTTATTTGACAAAAATTCCAACACCATTTTGGCCGTCTTTTGACCATTCCAGAATAGTTTATATTTTATATTTTTATAATTTTATAGTTTATATTATTATTGATATATATTATATATTTTATATTATAATTTTAATGTTAAGACATTAGAAGAGTTTGCTGCAGTAAATGTGCTGAAACAGAGAAGGATAACTTAGATATTCAGTCACAGCCTTAAGAATTCACAAAAAGATGACATAATTTAACCAGTGATTTTTTTACAGTTGCTGCTAAAAGTGTTCAATAGTTGATTCATTTTGCACTGACTCATGGATTTTAAAGCATTCCAGAACTTTTGGAAAATTTTCATAGTCAAATTCAAAAAGAACATCATAAAAAAAGTCAACAGTTCAACTTACTTCATTTTTTCCTAAAAAATATTAAATTTTTGAAATTAACAGTGCAACATGGTTTTTCCAAATTATATATTGTATTGATATAATACAGTTCAGTGTACATTTACTAATAAAAAATAATGTATACATTTTGTATACCTTTTTCATTTGGTTGTAAATATGTTTTAACCCATTTAAGACACCTCCTTTTTAAGACCTGATTTCTATGACATTTTCAAAGTCGTTAATAGGGAGTACCACTGTATATATATTCCTCTGTTCAAAACATCTCATTTTGGCGCAAAAATGCTTCTTGTGATAGTCATGACATGGAAATCATTGTCACATGATCTAAAAGTTAGTATCTACTTTTGCTTTAGCTTGTTCGAACAGCCAATTATTTCTGGTAATTAGAGTTTAATTAATTTTTTGGCGTAAAGTTGTTCGCTCGAATGTATTATTAATTTTGCATGTTTGAACGTTCAGTCAATTATTCGAAATTGAATGTAACTGAGTTTTATCGAATATATTGAACTTAGTTTATTTTTGTAATTAGTTGATGTGCTTATTCGATTTCGTTTGCGAATTTCTTGTGTATAGCCTACGCCAAACGTGTTTGACCGCCCAAGCACAACATCGATTGGACGCTGTGCACGGGCGTACACAAAAATACATTTACAAACGGCCATAACTTCTTCTGTTTGTAAATGTATAACTATTCTGTATGTTGCCAGTATCCTGTGTAACTTGTGGATTAAGTAGAATTAAGTGGTGTCGAACGTAGGTAAGTTAGCGTGGTACAATTTCATTGCTTTGATCGATCCTATTTATAACTCAGTAGATAAGATCGTAAGCCACTATTAAGCGTTGTCCTTGCTATCTCTAGTCCTCTATTTAATAAGTAGACATAGAGTATTAGACGGCTTCGCGGAGTTTTTTGCTATTTGGGCTTATTATTAGTTCGGCGGTATTTGTAGTTTTTGAGATTCGTTGACAGAGTAATAGTAAAGGTCACAGAATACTTTAAAAACTCACGATTAGGTAGGTTCGACGTGGTGAGTGTTGTGTGATTTCAAGATAATTGATCGCAGAATTGATTATTTTGTAACTGTTATACTGTTATTTACGTAATTTTATGTAATCGATTTACGATTATTTTGTGACATTGCGTGATTGGTAGTAAGGTAATATGCCATTTCCGATTTATTAATTGCGTTGAATAATTCGAGCAACAGCATTTTCGTGTACAGTGATTATTGAATTGTAGTGTTGTTTAATAAATAATTATTAAAGTTAAAGGTACGCGATGTTAACTAGTGCAAACTTAAACACACGTGGAAAAGCCAGAGCCACACAGATCTGGTCGAACCCGCGACGTGACAACTAAAAAGTAGTAGCTGTAGTGCCAGAGCTAGCTATTATTGTCGGTAACTAGCCCTGAAATAATTAGTCAGTGAAAACTCGAGGCGACTATTGGCGCACAACATTTTCGTGATAGTTTTAGTTCGAGAGAAGAAAAAAACTCCGACAATTTGGCCCTCGACTAGGTTGTTCTGCGACGCGAGTTTAAAAAACCCGACACTATAATAATGAATCAAATTATCAATTTTGATGAAAAAATTGTTTTTTAAAAAATGCGACTTACCAAAATTGTATGATTTCAGCAAAAAAAGGTTAGAGGTCAATTACACTTTTCTAAAATTCAAGGATATAAACTACACACAAACAGCGTATATCAATACGTGCTAAACATGCCAAACTATCAAACTAAAGCATGTGATAGGCGGAGATATTTGTCGTATTCGAACCCGGTCACCGCATGAACTGCCAAACAGAACCAGGTTTCTTTAACCACTGGGCTATAGCGCCGCCATAAACAATAATAAACAAACGATATAGATCATTTTCAAAATTTAAATAAATCTGGTTAGAAATTGTAGCTTCATGTCCTTATATTCTAGAGGTTCACATAACAGTAATAATAATGTAAGCTCTTTTATTTTCAAAATCTAAAATAAATAAAATCTAATCAAAATAATGACATTAAAAATCAAATCATTTTAAAAGAATTTATAAATGAAAATATAATATACAGGCACTGGCGTACCGAGGGGGGGCGAGGGGGGCGTATCGCCCCGGGCCTCCGATTTGGAGGGGGCCTCCAAAAAGCCAATTACGAAAATTTTTAAATAATTTATTTATTTAGTAAGTGTATAGACGTGATTTTGTGTTTTGATTTTTTAATATATTTATTTATAAATAATCTGTAGTAATGCATATACTTAGTTAGAATAAACGCTTTTTTAAAATCCTGACCAAATTGGTAATCCACGTCTATTTTTAGTCGGACATTGACATCATTATACTTGAATGTGATTGGTTGATATAGATTTGGACGAGTCGGCCTTTTCAAACTTTTTTTGTTGTCTGTTCCGTTTGGTTTATTAGAGTGAGTTTTAAATTTTATTTATATATTTATCAATCTCTTCTTTAATAAGTTTAAATATAACTACTATCTTTCAGGTAAGAAAAACAGAAAATATACTTTCACCCACCGGTACTGGCTCACTAGTTTAAATCTAAGGTACAAAAAGTGTTGATAGGTAAAGACGGATATCTGTTCTCCTCGGTTTACGTGACTGATGTTACACCATTTTTTTTCACTTTTAATTTTTTAAATTATATTTTAAGCCCTGAAGTTAAAATAAATTATTAGAATTAAAACACTATCAACTTTTTTTAAATTGTGATGTGGGAAATTGGACAATTCCGTTATCAGATAACATCAGAATCAGTATAGTAAAACTAAAAAGTGAGTATTTCCAGAACAAAAATGGTCCATTTAGAGTGGTTCAAAGAGTAGGGAAGCAAACAAAGGGTCAAATCGACAGTTGACAAAGCATTGGTTCTACAAGCATCTTCCAAATGGTGAAAAAGTTCTTAGAAAGTGGATGGTTTATTCTCCTTCCAAAAAATGTTTATTTTGCTTTTGTTGTCGACTTTTTGCTGCTTGTGATAAAGAAAGTAATAATTTTTCAAAATTTGTTACAGGGTTTAATAATTGGTGGAAACTAAACCCTAAGATTTCACATCACGAAAATTCTGAAATTCACTTAAACAATCATGAAAAATGAAAAACATTAGAACTAAGTTTGAATCTTAATAAAACCATTGATGCCGTTCATCAAGAAAATCGAGAACTGGAAACTAAAAAATGGAATGACATTTTACACCGCTTATTGGATGTCACCATGTTTCTAGCAAAACAAAATTTACCTTTTCGAGGCCACAGAGAAGATGACTTTTCTAACAACAAAGAAAATTTCTTAGAGTTAGTTGAATTAATTTCACACTACGACCCTGTCTTAAAAGAACATTTAGTGAGGGTCCAACATAGCAAGGCAGGAAACACGATTTCATATCTTTCCCCTAAAATTCAGAATAAATTTATTTCTATATTGGGAGATACTGTGAAACAGAAAATTATTGATGATGTAAAGCAAGCAAAGTATTACGGGATAATGTTTGATTCAACACCTGATATATCTCACCAAGACCAATTAAGTGAGATTATTAGATATGTTCATATAAAAAACAAAAATGTAGAGGTAAGAGAATCATTTTTAGGATTTTTTCCTCTTGCCAGAAAGAAGGCCATTGATATTACACAAAGAATTGTAAATATTATTGATGAAGAGGGTTTGGACATAAACCTATGTCGAAGCCAAGGTTATGACAATGCTTCGGTAATGTCAGGTGTTCATTCTGGGGTACAAGCCAGGATCCATCAAATAAATCAGAAAATTTTATTTGTACCTTGTTCTAATCATTCACTTAACTTGAGCGGGGTTCACGCATTTGGAAGCAATCCAACTTGTGTAACGTTTTTTGGAACAATTGAAAGCATTTACAACTTCTTTTCTTCATCAACTCAAAGATGGGATATATTGTCAGAAATAGTCGGGATCACTGCAAAAAGGCTAGCAGGAACCAGGTGGAGTGAGCAATATCATGTGGTGAAACCTGTAATGAATCATTTCAGCAAGTTGGTACAGGCTTTAGAAAAATTATGTGATCCATCAGAAAATGTAGATACGAGAGGTTCAGCTCAAATTTTAATGAAAAATATTCAAGATTTCAAATTTCTTGCTTATCTCCATTTCTGGAACAGTACTCTTGAGGAAGTCAATCATACTCAAAAATACTTGCAAACAGAAGGAATTGGTTTAGATAAAACCATTGAAAAATTAGATACCTTAAAACTTTTTCTGCATGAGAGTCGCGATGAATTGGTTGAAAATGCATTGATATTTTCTACAAAAATTTGTGAAGAAATGGGAATAGCTACAGAAAAATTGGGTCGAAAAAGTCAAAGAAAGCTTATGCCTGGAGAAGAAAGTAAAGATGAAGCTTTAACGTTGAAACAGGAATTGAGACGATCAATGTTTCAGTCACTTGATAATTTTTATCAAGATCTTAGAAAAAGGATAGAATCAATGCAAAATGTATATGTAAAATTTGCAGCCATTCAATCATCACATCTTATTGGAATGGAGATAGAAGAACTTTCAAAGCTGATACCAAATCTGACAGAAACGTTTGATGAACTAGAAGAAAATGAAATGATACCCGAAATTAAACGATTAAGACGTCATCTTCAAGCAGGGAAAATTGAGAAAGATGATGTTAAAAAATGGTCTGCACTGAAAATGTTAACCTATATAATAGAAATTGATTTACACGAGTCAGTTCCAAACTTATATTTAGCTTTAAAGATTTTTTTGACAGTGTGCGTTTCAATTTCTTCTTGCGAAAGAAGCTTTACAAAATTGAACTGATTAAAAGTTATCTTCGTTCGACAATGAGTCAAGCAAGACTTAATGGCTTAGCAATCCTATCAATTGAAAACACAGTGGCGAGAAATATTAACTTTGATGAAACAATACAAATATTTTCTGATGCAAAATCTCGTAAAAAACAGTTTTAATATATTTTTCGATTAGCTGAATCAAAATTTTGTGGCATATGTGTACTGACATGTGTAAATGTTTTGTATCTATGTATATTGCATTTTTGTAAAACATAAAATATAAAAACATTTTTCATTTATTTTCTGCATCATCAGCCAATCAAAAAATGAAAAAAAGAATAAGTGCCTTATCCTTTTCTGGACATCGGCGACCATCAATTTCCACAAAATATGGACTGTGGTTAGTTTTTGTCGATGAATTTCTTGGCAGAGGTATAGACATATGTTACCATTTCTTTTTGCCATTGCATCAAATAAGCGACCATATGATGGTCTTTGGGATGAACAGCATGGTATGCTTTCGAACTCGATGGCACTGACTTCAACGACCAAGCAGATAATCATTACATCCACCATATAATATCTATGTATATGTAATACATATTAATTATTTATGAAAGACATCACAAATATTTCCGCCCTGGGCCTCAAAGGCCCTAGGAACACCACTGTATACAGGCCTCTCATGCTCATTGATTAACAAGTGTATGAGAGTAAAAATACATTTAAAATAATTATGCAGAATTTCTATCAAAATAAATGCTATATGGCGAGCAAATTAATTAATTAATTTTTCGTCAAAAAAATATGGCCATAAAATTTTGAACAAAGTTAAGTTAACAATGTATATAAACAAATAGGACATTTCGAAAGAGTTAATAATTATGGAACAGTTTTTAAAGCCAGCATTTAAATTTTATTTCAAATTTTTGTACCTCTGATGTTTGTATTTTTTGGTACATTCTCTGCTGGGTCTCATATAATAGTAATAATAATAATAAATAATAATAATGATAATACCAAACAGCATTGATGAGCATTTAATGGTACACAAACTTTTACTAATTGAACAATAAGGTTGCAGATGGGCTAGTCAAGGATGCAAAGATCAACTGCTAATTGATAAAATGATCATATAACAAGTCAGCAGCAAAAAAAAGTAGCATAAGTATAGCATGGATAGATTATAAGAAGGCCTTTGATAGTGTCCCTCACTTGTGTTTGTATATGTATGTATGTTGCATGTGTA